TTTGAAGAAGTTCGGGGCTCTCAGCCACTGCCCATTTTTGGGGTATGCTGCGGAGCCCCAGCATGCTGGTCTAAATAAACCCCGTTTTTACTCCTGCAGGAATTGTGTCTATCTGGTCTCTCCGCGCCTCCCAGGGCCAGGGAACTCCCGATCCCAACATTTCCTGGTTCATGCACTCAGGAATTACTCCTGGCCATGCTTGGGGGACCATATGGGATGCTGGGAATTGAACCTGGGTTGGGCCGCATGCAAGGCAAATACCCTACCTGCTGTGCTATCACTCCAGCCTCCAGATACAATTTTTTTAAAACTGATTTTGTATCATTTAATCTATCACCTCTTAACATTGGTTTTGGTAAACAATGTTAAACACTTTGATAGATGTTTTTCTTAAAATCATCTTATCTTCATCTTATCCCTAGGATGTTTTCTTTTTCCATTCCTGATATTTGTATTGTATATATACTTTTTCTTGACTGATTCATCCAAGGACTGACAAGTTTCACTGATACTTTTGAATAACCAATCTTTGTCATTGCTTTTTCTAACAGTGCTAATATTTTCAATTTCATTGGCTTACATTTTTCTCTTCATTAGTGCTTCTTCTTCAAAGATGCTTGAGGACTTCCAAGGACAAAACTGACCTACAACAAAGCTTATCACTCGACTATTCTTTTGCGGACATTGTATTTAAATTTTTATGGGGATAAGGGGTTTGGGTCATGTTTATTGGTGCTGAGGATATACTTTTCACTGTACTCCTGGGGATGCTTAGAAGACTGTGAGTTCACAAAGTAAAATGCGGGGGCTGCTGTGATGTGTGCATTCTATGTGTGCCAATGTGTGTATTCAGTGGCCCAGAACCACCTCCCCACCACCCCAGACCTCCCCAACAGAGACAGAGAGACAGGGAGACAAGGGACCACAGTCTGAGGGTGAAAATGGCCTGTTTAATGCAGAGCTGCTAGCATACTTTTAGAACATCTATGGGGGGTGGGGTTGAGGTAAGGACCTAGGTAATTGGTCATTTACATAGATAAACATTTGTTGGAGGAAATTCCCTTGGAGAGATTAACTCAAGGAGACACTCTGTCTTTCAGGGACATCTTGCTTTTTTATCTTTTCCTTTAGTTGTATAAGTTATCAACATTTGTAGTTGTTTGGGTAAACACAGTAAGAGACAAAGATCCCAACACTCAGTTCTCCAGGCTCTGAGAATAAACAAGGCTTTTAACTCTTAGATCTCTGGACTCTTGAGAGCAAGCAAGGCTTTTTTCATAAATCCCAGACTAAGTCCTGAGGCCAGTTCAGCTTGTCCTTCCCATTGGGAGTCCTATCTCTTAAGTTGTAACAACTTGCATCAAGACCATGCATTTATGCTTTCCGGAATGTCCCATTTCAATACAGGGATAGCTTTGCCACTCACCCCGGGTCAATCCCAGTCCCAAAGTGGGACTTCCCTTTTGGGATGTTAGGAACAATAGAAACTGAAGCCTGAGACAAGTAATAATGACCAAGTAATTATGTGCAAGGGTAGATATATTTCAGAGTCAATTAACTCCCAGATATTAGGAGCATAGCATTGATGGTTTTTCTGTGTTTAACCAAAGAACACTGTTCTATAATAAAATATAAAAAGGTTACAGGGGAAATAGAAATAGAAAACAGGTACAAATACACAGCACTTCACATACAAAGTTCAGAATTACCAGAAAGTTTTGATTTATAAGTAATCAAGACTGACTTGGGGAACTGTGACAATGAGAGGTAAAATACAAAGGAAAGGTTAAAGGTTAAAGATAAACTTTAACCCCCCGTGGTGTATTCAATATGCCAAAATCCAGTAACTATGATGGGTCTCATTCTCCTGACCCTGAAGGAGCCTACAATGTGGCACTTGCTAAAATCTCAGGGCCAGGATGAATGGAGACATTACTGGTGCCTGCTCGAGGAAATCGATGAACAACAGGATGAGAGTGATACAGTGACAGTGAAATTAGGGATGCTATTAAGGACAAAAAAAGCTTCTCTGGGAGGAGGAAAAGGATCAATTCACAGGTGAAGCCTAAAACACTTTGTGTTACTATCCAATAGGAGACCATATGTGATGCCAGGGATCAAACTGGGGTTCAACCTGGGTATGCAAGGGAACTGCTTTAACCCTTCTATCATCTCTCCAGATCCTCTATTTTCATCTTTATTCTTTAAGGAAAAAAACTTGGCAAGGAAAAAGACAAAAAAAAAAAAAGAAATTCAAACTAGTGAAACCAGGTAAACCAGGTAATTTACCCAATTTGAGATCAAGAACTTGGGTTCACAAAGTATTGTTGAGAGGCAGCTCAGGAATTGCAGTACATTCTTTACATGCAGTGGTCTGGGTTTATTTTCCTCTGAGCACTGCCAAGTAATCTATGGAGCATCCCCAAGTTCTGAGCCAGGAGTAGGCCCAAGCATTGCTATGTATTGCCACACACAAACACACACACACACACACACACGCACGCACACATGCACATATACACAGACAACCACATAAATTAACGTCCTGAATTTAATCACATAGACTCATATACACAGTTCCTTTTGCCATATATGATAAAGATTTTGTGGCTAAACACAGGTGCTCTGCTAGTCTTCATAGTTTTCCCTTCTGAGTTACCAGAAAACTTTTTCACTCTGTGCCCCAGAGATCCCACAATAAAGGAGTATAATAAAAATGGCTATTTTAAGCCACTACATTTTAGAATAATGTATTACAGAACAAAGGCACCTCAATGCTTAATCTAAGAAATAAACAGTATCATTTACTTTCTAACCTCACTTCAACTAAAATCATCTAAAAGATTGTGAATTGTAGAGTCTTGGCTTGGATACTTGGTATTTCCCACTTCTAACTAGAAAGCTCATCTTCCACACTAATAGTGGCTCTCAAACTTTCTTATAAAATGCAACACTACTATGAACTATATAAGTATGACCAACTGCACACATTTAAGTCTATCAGGGCAGAGGAGACAGCACCGTAGGATTGAGTGAACACTTTGAAAACAGCAACCTTGGTTGGATGCCAGGCACATCCACATTTAGATGAGCAACTTCTCTGTTGGGTCTCCAAACCATATATAACACTCCCTTCCCTAAAAACAAAGCAAAACAAAACACCACCAACAACAACCAAACCCTGTTAAGTTTAATACTTTAACAAGAACATGCATTGATATTTCACACCATATTATTTCATTTTCTAAAATTTGTAGCTTTTTAAAAAAAATAAATCACCTTGAGACACACAGTTATAAAGCTTTCATGATTGGGTTTCAGTAATACAATGTTACAATACCCATCCCTCCACCAATCTACTTCTCTTAAAAAAATGATTGAAAAAGTTGTAGTTCTAATTCAATAGACCTCCCTGTTTACAAACGGAACTGATACCAATGAGTTACACACCATTCCTTTGGAAAACACTGCTCTAAGTCATAATCATTTTCCGAGGCTTAACTCCAGTGCCACCTTTCAGGCTTTCACTTAATAATCTACTCTGAGTTCTCTTGAATTTTGTATGATTTACTTGTTATGTGCCATTTCTTAAACAACCCAGGCTGCATTGACACAGTGAACTCTCCCAGGACAAGATTTCATCTTTTATCTCCTGCTTGCTAATTCCACAGCACTCAGAAAAACATCTTATTTTCATTCTTTCTTTCTTTCCTTTTTTTTTTATTGAATCACCATGAAGTACAGTTATAAAGCTTTCATGTTTGAGTTTTAGTCATACAATGATCAAACACCCATTCCTCCACCAGTATACGTTTTCTACCACCATTAACCCCAGTGTCCCCCTCCATCCCACCCCTCCCCCTGACTCTATGGCAGACAATTTCCCTCTTATTCTCTCTCTACTTTTGGGCATTATGGTTTGCAATAAAGATACTGAGAGGCCATCATGTTTGGTCCTTTATCTACTTTCAGCACACATCTCCCATCCCAAGCAATCCAACCATCATTGACTAAGTGATCCCTCTCTGTCCCAGCTGCCTTTTCCCCCAGCTCATGCGACAGGATTCCAACCGTGGAACAATCTTCCTAAGCCTTATCTCTACGTCGTTGGGTGTTAGTCTCATATTGTTATTTTATATTCCACAAACGAGTGAAGTCATTCTATGTCTGTCCCTCTCTTTCTGAACCATTTCACTTAGCATGATACTCTCCATGGCCATCCACTTATAAACAAATTTCATGACTTCATCTTTCCTAACAGCTGCATAGTATTCCACTGTATAGATGTACCAAAGTTTCTTTAACCAGTTATCTATTCTTGGGCACTCTGGTTGTTTCCAGATTCTGCCTATGCTACCATGAACAAACGAAAACACCTTATTTTCTATCTGACTATTGTATTTCTTAGCACTATTAAGATGCTAAGAGTTTTGGATATTTTAAAAAAAATTTTCGGGGTTAGGTCAAGAAAAATAGCTTAATAACCTTTCCAATTAGCTGAAAAAGGTCAGAGTTGGTCCCAAGCTTGTGAGGTGTTTAAGCAAAGCCAATCAAGCCTCCCCTTAAGTACTTCTCTTGATACAGCTGTTAAAAAGGACACAGGACCAAACTGTGACATCTCAAATATTTTGGGACTGCTATGGGAAGCTAATTTTCACAACTCACTGGCAACGATGCTTTGCGGAACGACCCAGAAACCTCATCCTACAGGGTCCTGGCCACTAGCCATCAGCTCCAACCGCTCCCAGGGCGGGCAGGGTGGGAGGTAGGGCTTCGCGAAAGCAGCCCGGCTATAGGTTGCCGCTTGCAAGGAGGAGGCGGGACTTCCCGCGGCTAACCCCGCCCCTCGCTCCGCCCCAGCGGTTACCTTCGCCTCGCGGCCCGCGGCGCGCTTGGCCCTAGCAACGGCCCGGCTCCTCCCCGCGGTGTCCCTAGCAACGGCCCGGCTCCTCCCCGCGGTCTCCCTAGCAACGGCCCCGGCTCCTCCCCCACGGTGTCCCGGGGAAAGCGCTCCGCCGGGGCGTGAGCATCTACGGCCAGCCGCGCGCCTCGGCGTCGGGCGGAGCGGAAGACGCGTGGAGCTGTGCGAGGACCCTCGGGCTGTGCAGGTCTGTGCAGGTCGGAGTCCCTCTCCTGTCCTTCGTGTGGGCCTCCGCACCTTTGCGGGGACCCGAGATCTGCAGGGAGTGGATACGCCCTCGGGCGACGGCGTCTCCCGTGAGCGGGCCCTGGGCCCCCAGCACGGGCACTGTGGCACTCTTAGGATCTTGCGGGCCCCCTTGGAGAAAAGAAAAAAAAGCAGCGACCCAGTTTCGCCCTAAATGGTTTTCGGTGTTTTGCATACCCCCAGGAAAATCAGTCCTGGCAAAGTTAGTCCTCTATTTTACATATTATTGTTATCATTATTATTATTATTATTTTCGCTTTTAGAGCCGTTTCCGGGAGCTGATGGAGGGAGGAGCATCGTGCAAACCGTGCAGTGTCTTTAACATATTAAGGTTCTGATTGTACAGTAAGCACCGGAACCTGTGCTTTATGTTTAATTTGTTTCTTGACAGTGCAGGACCCGTGAAGAAGTCTGGGAACACGTTAAGGCACAAATTCGACCGAATTGGGTGATAAAAATCGCCACCTGACTTAAAAATCACAACATTGAAAGGATTCTTTTATATCCAAACCCATGTGTGCCATAGAAACAAAAACAAAAACTGGTGTTGGCACAGTTAGCCAGCCACTTGGTGGTGAGGTTGGAAAAGGCCCACTCATCCTACTGAAAGGTGGAGGTACAGCAGATTTAGAAAACGTGGACGTTCGACCTGGATTTGTATTATGTAACCAGGTTCTTTGAATACTCCAGGAAAATTTTTAGGTAGTTCTCAGTTGGCCCACAATGTATGATAGGAAAGATTTCTGTAATGACCCAATGAGAGGTGAGTCACTTGTAGTGAGGACCCTTTCCCCTTATTCCCGTGTTTTGAAATGAAAAATAAGTGGCCTGAATTGCCATTTGTATCTTGGGCAAAAGACCCGTTAAGGATAGCTTGTCAGTTATTTCAGTAATTAGGCGCAATCTGGAAGCCCTCTCCCCAGCACCTGAATTAGCAAGCATTTGTTGAATTCCTCCTACAGATAGGGAGATAGGGAGAGATGACACCAGAGTTCTCCTCACACCACCAACGGGGAAGTAATCAGGTACTGTCACCCTCCTGATGAAAGCGGAAGACTGGAGTGTAGCCTGCTTCCTCTGGCAGGTGAAAACAGGATGATGAATGTGGCTGGCAAATTATTCCGTACTCTCCCAGATTCCAGCCTCCCTGTATGCCCAAACCCTGGGAAGGGCTGAAGTGGAGTCTCTGTACTGATGAATGGGCATGTAGCTCAGAATGCATTAACACTACCTGGGTGTCTTTAAGTGGAAGACATAAAGGCTGACTTAGCCTCACCCAGTGGGAGAAAAAAAAAAACAGGGTCATTTCTTCTTCCTGGTGTCCCATTTCTATGCATTTCTTTTTTTCCCCAAAGACATTAAGTGGCCACAAAGGAGAGGAAAATTCAACTCTTGGAGACTGCCAGGGAGGAATGCTTCCCTAATAAGTTCACTCCAGATGAAAGTACATTTTTCCCTGTGAAAGATGCAGAACCAGTAATAAACATGCAGAGCCCTGACTTGGAGACTAAAAATAGGTTATGGGCATGGTAGAATTGATGTAACACGGTAAATAATAAGTTTGGAGGGAAAAGAAGGTAGGAGGCAGTGTTAATTGTTTTCAGTCTGAGTTGAAGAATGATAGATGTGCTATCAAGGTAAAAATGTTAGCATTTCTCTCTCTTTAAAAGATTTTTGCCACACCTGGCCGTCCTCACTTTTGGCTCTGGGCTTAGGGATAACTCTTGGTCGTGTTTGGGGACCATCATAACACTGGGAATGAAATCACAGTCAGTAGTGTGCAAGGCCAAGTGCTTTACCCACTACACTATCTCTCAAGTCCCCCAGATGTTAGCATTTTAGAGAGAAAAAAAAGTCACTCCCTCCCACCCCCCGTAATCCCCATGATTCCTTTTGCACATATTTGAAATTAACAAGAATGTTCTGGACTTTTTTGAATAATCAAGTTTGCAACAGATGTTTCATACATATATGAGAGAAACTGCTAGGTCAGGAGATGTGCCTGATTATAGGGTTTCAGGACACATCTCCTGATTATAGGGTTTCAGGACACCTTTGAGACAGCTGCCCTTGGCTTAGAACTGCTGGCCTCTCTATGTGCCTTCAGTCATAGAGAAGAATAGGTAAGACGGGGGCTCAAACATTTCCCTTTTCTGTTTCAGATATTTGTGTTTGAGTTTTGAGGAAGAAGGACAAAGGGCATTTACATAGACTTCATTAATAACCCTCTCCCAGCCCCAGAGGAAGGACATTTATTTTAGGATTCCCTAATATGCATTAGTTGTCTAATGAATAAGTGAAGTACAAGGGACTGTTTTGGGGCCTCTCAGGCCTCTCAGGAACCACTTTGAGGTTCCTAGAAGAAATCCTTGAATATTGAGGCAATCACATTGACATCCCAGTTATTGATGGAGCTCCAATATGTTGGAGGCCTTTGGTGGCACATATAAACCCATAAATAGCTACTAGAATACTGAGGAAAGCAGAGTCAAGTTGAGTTAGTCTAGCCCAATGTCTTTTTCAGAATGAACCCCATGATCTGAATAATTGAAGACTAAACTTAAGACTAAGTCTAGTTGGGCTGGAGAGATAGTTCTGTGCACATGCTTTGTATACAGGAGACCTCAATTTGATCCTCAAGCACGACGTGGTCCAAAGAGGGAGCTGGCGATAGTTCCCTGAGCATCACATCACCCACCCCACCTTAAGCAGTATTGGAAAACACACAGAATTTAAGTCAAAAGCTTAGCTTTCTGGGTGGAAGAGCAATGATGAGACCTCCTCTGGCTTGTCACCTTTTATTGGTCTAGAGAGGTTTTATAGTTCTGATTTCCAAGACTAATAAGATATCTTCTCAAACTCTTAAAGCTTGTCTGACCCTTAGAATGAATTATTGATCTTAGGATATTGTTAGGCTGGAGCAATAGCACAGCGGTAGAGCGTTTGCCATGCGCACAGCCTGCCCGGCCGAGCCAGGTTCAATTCCTCCACCCCTCTCGGGGAGCCCAGCAAGCTACCGAGAGTATCTCGCCCACATGGCAAAGCCTGGCAAGTTCCCCGTGACGTATTCAATATGCCAGACACAGTAACAACAAGTCTCACGATGGAGACGTTACTGGGCTTGCTCAAGCAAATCAACGAACAACGGGAGGACAGTGCCACAATGCTACAGGATATTATTATCTAGTTCTGTGAATGGATACTAGCAATCTGAAAAATACCCAGTATTTTGTCTTAAGTATGCATTTTCTAAAGATAGGTCCAGACTCTCATCAGATCTTAAAAGTCTAAGATCCAAGAAAAAGTGACAGCTTAATATTTTGCACTTAGTTGTTCATGGTGTGTTCACAAAGACAAAAGAGGGTGATGGGAGGGAACCGGAAGACACTGGTGCTGGGAAATGTACACTGGTGGAGGGATGGAAATACTGTATGACTGAAATCCAATCATGAATGGCTTTCTAATGCTCTAAAAAATTAAAAAAGACATTTTTAATTAGGTGATTGGAGTTGGGGTCAGAAATAGATGCTTTTCTTTTGTGAGTTAGGAAGAAAGGATGAACTGTCTAATATCTTTCTCTGAGCGACCCAATGTGTAAACCCCTAATTAGTACATCAAAAATATTTTAATTTTCTCCTTGGATAATTTTGGCAAATATACTGTACTTTTCCTTCAATGATGACCACCTTTTTTTCTTTGCATCTCTTTGTGTCTCAAGTTTATTGCAATTTGCAATCTATAGAAAGATCCTGATGTTAGTGTCACCAACTTCTTAGTAAATTATTTTGTATATTATGTTCCACTGGACTTTTTGTTCACTTTCTATTTGGGAGACCACAGAAAATTTCCTGTTGCAGTCACAGCATTTCTTTTGCCTGTGTTTGGACTCGAAAGTGCCTGGGTTCTCATAGTTAAACACCACAATGCCAAGAGGCTTTATAAGAGGATCATTTTACAGTATTGGAATGCATACCAAATCAGAAAGGGCCCAGACTCTCTCCCTAGAAAGATACTATGCTTACAAAGTAGTTGAATAACAGTTTTGGCAGTCATCGCACTATTTTTGAAGAAAATATTTAAGTGGAAAAATTATTTCACTAATCATATTGAAGAATCTGGTGTTTAGCTTTTTAAAACAGTATAAATTTTTGAACTGAGTGGACATTCTGAAATCTGAAAGAGCCACCTTTAAGGATATTTTACCTTATTATATATTTTACCTTATTATTATTGGTAGTAGATACCTCATTTGAATGGATATCCAGTAATATGTTTTTCAGTGTGTATTTGAAGTTGGAGAGGAAACGACCTTAAAGATAAGTGCTAGATGCACAGGGTAGATTTCATCAGATCAGTACTAGTTTCATAGGAACTTTGTGTTTTCATTAGAATTAAGATTGGGATTTAGAGTGATATAACATCAATTCAAAGTCAGAACCTAGAAGGTTGAGTGCATTCCTGTTGATACTAACGTTGGACCACTATACTCTAAATGTGAACACAATTGCTATGTCTGTTACTAAAAAGATTGTTGGTACTAAGAGCATTTTTCTGTTGCTATTTAAAACTTTATAATATTTGTTAAGAAATAGAAAAGCTAGCACACAGTTTTAAGTTGAACGATTTTCTTTGTTGAGACAGCGAGTAAAATGTTTTGTTTTTATTTTACTCCCCCCCCCCCACTTTTTTTTTTAATTTCACCTAAATATATTTCAGAAATAGATGTTAAACCTCGGTTCAAGTAGGAAACAAAATGTCTCTCAGTCCACCCAAATTTCTCAAAGTAAGGGAAGAAAATAATTCCAAGCTTGTGGAAATACAACAGTCACAAAATACTTCGATAGCTTTAGAAGATCCTCTTCAAAACTTGTGCTTGGCGTCACAGGAAGTTCTTCATAAAGCTCAGCAAAGTGGGAGATCAAAATGCCTCAAGTGTGGTGGTTCAAGAATGTTCTACTGCTACACATGCTATGTTCCAGTTGAAAATGTACCCATGGAACAGATGCCACTTGTGAAGGTTGGTAAGAAATTTGATAGTTTGAAAGTAAAGTAAAGTAAAGGCCCTCCCATTGATCGTCGATTTGCTCGAGCGGGCCCAGTAACATCTCCATTGGAGACTTTGTTGTTACTGTGTTTGGCATATTGAATACTCTCGGTAGCTTGCACAGCAGGTATTAGGCTTCTCTAAAATTTATTTTTCTACTAGTTTGAAAGTGGAAAAATAAATTTTAGAGAAGCCTAATACCTGCTGTGATATGTGATGTTTGAAATTAATGTTATAAAGATGAGTTATATTAATAGAAACTTTAGTCCTATAGACTAAAACATAAGTTATTAAACTTATGTTTTCTTATCTCTGAAAGAGACACACATTGTTAAAACAACTGGTACTACAAGAGATAGATTTATAGATTTTCTGAAGGAGCTTATAGAATTATAACAGGTTAATGGTCCACTCTTTTAAAATATATCTTAAAGGAACTAAGTTTTATATCCTTTAGCTTTGTGGTTCTTTGTGGTTCACATATAGCCCCACCCTGTGTGTGTGAAGATATCAATAACCAAAGCTAAAATAAAAATTGAAAAGACTACAATATATGTGATAGGTTATGTAATGTAGCACTGTAGCACTGTCCTCCTGTTTATCGATTTGCTCGAGCATGCACCAGTAATGTGTCACAACTAATTGTGAGACTTGTTGTTATTGTTTTTGGCATATCGAATACGTCACGGGTAGCTTGCCAGGCTTTGCTGTGTGGGCGAGATACTCTTGGTAGCTTGCCAGGCTCTCTGGGAGGGGCGGAGAAATCGAACCCAGGTTGACCGTGTGCAAGGCAAATGCCCTACCCGCTGTGTGCTCTTGTACTTATTAGGATGCCATAAAATCAATAAGGTTTGTAGGAATTCTTAAAACTGCTCTTGGTACAGTACAGAAGTGTGATGATTTGGACTCATAGCTGTATAACTTACATAATAATGATATGGATTTCTATTTTTAAGAAAAAATTCTGTGTTAAATCAGTTGGAACTTTTTTCCATCATAGGATTAACACTATCAAGGAGGAAATTTGAATTTGCTTTACAATTCTAATTCTTAATATTTTAATCATTAAAAAAGTATTGGGACAGCTACAGTACAGCGGGTAGGGCATTTGCCTTGCACACAGCCAACCCGGGTTTGATTCCCAGCATCTCATATGGTCCCCTGAGTACCGACCAGGAATGGTTTCTGAGTGCAAAGCCAGGAGTAACCCCTATGTATCACCGGGTGTGACCCAAAAAGCAAAAGCAAAAGCAAAAAAAAGTCATTATTCACTAATCCAGAAATTTTAAAACATTCCATTTTAGTCTAAGTCAATCAAATCATTAAATATATGTGTATTTGTGTATATATGTGAATATATATTGTGTCCAGACTCCGCACCAGCCTGTGAGGCGGGTGACAGCCCTCCCCACCCCAAGGGACCCAGCCCCGGCAGCCGACCACCACTACCTAACCACTGCCACGCTCTAGGCCACTTTCCGGAAAAAATATAAAAATATATGCCTCTCAGCCTGGCAAGCTACCAAGAGTATCCCGCCCACAGGGGCAGAGGCTGGCAAGCTCCCCATGGTGTATTCGATATGCCAAATACAGTAATAACAACAGGTCTCATTCCCCTCACCCTGAAAGAGCCTCCAATTGTTGGGAAAAGATAAGTAAGAAGAGGCTACTAAAACTTCAGGGCTGGAGGAATAGAGACATTACTGGCACCTACTTGAGTAATTCGATGATCAACAGGATGACAATGATACAGTGAAAAAAGTATGGCTTTCAAGCTGTTGAGTCTGTTTTTCAGACCTTACTGTGTTTCTTGCTATTGTAGCCTTAAGTATTGTCTTTTTAACATAAAATTTAGAATATCAATATGTTTTGTTCACAGCTTCCATTGAAGATTGACATCATTAAACATCCAAACGAAACAGATGGCAAAAGTACTGCCGTACATGCAAAACTTTTAGCACCTGAATTTGTAAATATTTACACGTATCCTTGTATCCCAGAATATGAAGAACAGGACCATGAGGTAAGCAGATTTTTGCATTTTTTTTTTACAACCTTTCACATTGGATATAGCCATGGATTTTAAACTCCATTGTCTTTCTGAACGTTAATACTTTTCTTGAGGACATCAGGATTTTCTTTACATACCAGTAAGCAACATTTTGATTTACCAGTATCTTCAATGATCAAATGATCCTAGATTTTAAAATCTATTAATGTATTGTACTTTTTTTCTCTCAGTTCTTTAGGTTTTCACTCTGCCAATATTACCAGGACTGCTTTTATTTACTTTATTAGTGTGTGTGTGTGTGTTCGGGGCACAGGGGGACATTCTATTTAAAAAGGCAATTTTGTAAGAAAGTTAAAACACCAGTTTGTGAGATCACTTGATCACTTGACATCCCATTACTCATCAATTTGCTTGAGCGGGTGCCAGTAACATCTCCATTTGTCCCTGTCACGTGCTAGTGTAGCCCAAGGGCATCTGCTCGTTCTAGGAACACAAAGAGCCTCAAAGCGATCATTTAGCGTCTTGACAAAGAAGTCTGACCATCTTGTAGGTGGGCGGCCACGCGATCTTTTGATGTCCTGTGGAATCCAGTCAGTAATGGCTCTGGTCCAGTGGTCATTTCCAAATCTTATTATGTGTCTAGCCCATCTGATTTTCAAAACCTTGGCAAACGAGACAGCGTCCCTGATTCTTGACCATTGATGGAAGTCAGAACTCTGGATTCTTTCTCTCATTTGAGTGAAGCGTCATACTCCAAGCATAGCTCTTGGTCTCTGAGGCGTGTGTTAATGCAGGAAGAACAGAGGAATCGAAGAGATATGCCCGGAGCCGGAGGTTCTTCATTCTCTTAGCTATTTCTTCGACGTTCCTGAAGGCATTCCAAGCCACTCTCTTCCTCCTGCGCAACTCAGGTGCCAGGTCATTCATCATGTTGACTTCTCGACCTAAGTACACATAACTGTTGAATTCAGAGATGTTCATTCCATTGAGAGCGAATGGAACATCAAGAACAAGACCGTTTCTCATAAACATTGTCTTCATGTGATTGAGCAGTAGTCTGACCTTTCCATACTCATGGTCGAAGTCGGCCAGCATTTGTACCACTTGGCTGATGTTTGGTGTTATTAGAACAATGTCATCAGCAAAACGGAGGTGGTGTAGTTGCCGACCGTCTATCTTCACTCCCATTCCTTCCCATTCCAGTCATTGCCTGACGTTGTCGAGGGTGGCACTGAAGAGTTTTGGTAAAATGGTATCACCCTGCCGAACCCCTCTTTTGACATGGATGATCACGTCCTTGTAGAATGGTGAGATCCTGGTAGTGAATTTGTAATACAGCTCATGGAGGATCCTGATGTATTGGATTTGAATGCCCTGTTTGGCTGGGGCTTCAATGACCACTTTCATCTCAACAGAATCAAAGGCCTTCTTTAAATCAATGAACATTAGATAGAGCAGCATCTTGAACTCCTGAAAAACCTCAATGAGCTTGGTTACTGTGTGGATATGGTTGATCGTGCTGAATCCTTTTCAGAACCCCGTTTGCTCACATGGTTGTCTTTCATCTAGTGTTCTGCCAATCCTATTCAGGATGACTTGAGTGAACAGCTTGTAGATGACAGACAATAGGCAGATCGGGCAATAGTTGCCAATGTCGTCTCCCTTCTTGTACAGTAGTACAATCCTGCTGATTTTCCACTGGGATGGAACCTTGCATTCAGACAGGTAGTTTGTGAAGAACCGAGCCAGTATATTGATGAGTACTTACGGCAGGTTCTTCAGGTGTTCAGATCTGACCTTTTCTGGGCTTGGTGCTGTTCGCTTCTTTACGGACAAAATGGTGTGTCAGATTTCGGAAGGGAGAACATTGGGAATGACCTATTCATCCTGTGGAATTTGGTATGTGGGCAGGTAGACGTGGCTATCGAAGAGATCCGAGTAGAAGTCATGGGTAATCATCTCCATTGCCTTTCTGGAGATGATCCATCAGGATGTTGGAGAGCAGTTATCTTGCTCTTGTAGTTGGCGAAGAACAGGCGGGCATTGTGAATGCCTTTCTCAGCTTCTGCCGCATCTACCAGCACTGCTGCTCTTCTCTCTTTGAGGTCTTCCTGTGTCGCTTCTCTGCACTGCTTTGTGAGCTCGAACATTCGCTTGCAGTTGCCTGAAGCTTGTGCCAAGCCACGTTGGCAAATGAGCTCAAGAGTTTTTGAAGACATGCGTCTTTTTTGCTATCTCTTTCTCAGCATTCTTCGTGCAATCATGGAGGTGCTGAACCAGTCAATCGTATTCCTCGTCAATGTTGTCAACGACGGCATCTTCCCATGTTGCAGCCATAGTGCCAAAGAGCCCCCAGTTGGTGGTCGTTCTGGGAGTTCTCTTAAACTTTGCAGCCCATTTTCCCTGCTCTGTGAAGTAGAATTTTGCATGAAGGAAATGGTGGTACGATCCCATTTGGAATTTTTTATCAACAGTGACATCGTTCAGGCAAAACTGTTGATTGAATATGATGTGGTCAATTTTGTTGTGGAACCATGCACCAGGAGACTCCCATGTCCAACGTTTAGATTCGGCCTTCTGGAATTGTGAGTTACCATGGATGGTCTTGGTCAACATGATTAACTCAGACAGTCTCTCACCTTGTTTGTTCCATTCTAGGCCATGGGTCCCGATGTGGAGTTCTTTGGCTGATCTTCTTGGTGCTATCTTGACATTAAAATCACCAACAATGATCTTGTAGAAGGTGTGGTCTTCTTTATAGAACTTCTCCAGCTCCATGTAGAACTTCTCAATTTCTCTTTCATCATAATTGGATGTTGGTGCATAGACAACGAAGATAGAAACTGCCGGCAGTGAGCCACATGTATTCAAGTGTAATCATCCGATTCGGGTTGTTAGGCATTTGAATGAATCAATGCTTTTGGCCAAGTTCGTGTTGACAAGGACACCGACACCACCAATGCCTCTTTTGTCGTGTGTTCTGAGGAACAGTTCTTCTCCAGTATCAAAAACAGTGTGATGTGATTGATGCCTTCTCGTCTCAGTCAGACAAATGATGTCCTATTTGATCTTTCACGCTTGTACCATCAAGTCCTCAATGGATGCATCTGATGCCAGCATATGTGCCTCGAAAGTACAGACAGTCATTTTTGTCCTTCTTTGTTTTGGCAGCCTAGTTCAGCCTTAAGATTTAATCAGTCTTTCCTTCCATCCTTCTTAACGCTGCCATATTTGTTGCTCTTTCAGGGTCAGGGGAGTAAGACCCATAGTATTTACTGGTTTTGGCATATTGAATACACCACGGATAGCTTGCAGGCTCTGCCGTGCGGGCGGGACACTCTCAGTAGCTTGCCAGGCTCTCTGAGAGGGATAGAGTCTTTTAGGGCGGCCTCTAATTCCCCTTGCAGATATTCCCATGGTTCAAACCATATTTGAACCCTATCAAATATGGTTTGAATTTTGTGAGGATAAATTTCATTAATGAGAGCAAATACAGAGAACTAGATTCTGCTGAAGTTGATAAGCCTACTTTTACTTATTCTTCTCCATTCGTCTGCTTATACTACATAGATTATGTTTTGATCACGGTCACGGTCCTCCCGTTGTTCATCGATTTGCTCGAGCGGGCCCAGTAATGTCTCCATCATGAGACTTGTTACTGTGTTTGGCATATTGAATACGTCATGGGGAGCTTGCCAGACTCTGCCGTGCAGGCGAGATACTCTCGGTAGCTTGCCGGGCTCTCCGAGAGGGGCAGAGGAATCGAACTCGGGTCGTCAATATTGGCCGCTTGTAAGGCAAACGCCCTACTGCTGTGCTATCGCTCCAGCCCATGTTTTGATAAATGTGAAAAAAAAAAAAAGATTACAAACATTGAAATTTCTTCAAAAGGACTGAGTAAGGTGGGATTTTCAGTAATTCTCTAAAATAAAAAATGTTAATATTTGTGACCACTTATAAAACTTCTTTTAGTGGTACAGATATTGTCTTTGCTCATTTTTAAATTATCTCTCTCTTAAAATTTTTGGGTTTTTTTGTGAGGCCACACTCAGCAGTGCTCAGAGCTTACTTTTGGCTCTCTTTAGAGGAATCAGACTACAGTGCTAGATTAAAAAAATATAAATGGTACATTTATATTTCAAGACTATTAAGAACAGTGTAGTATGCTAATTAGATATAAGAGAAATATAGAAATGCATATTGAATATTTGAAAAAGTTTATATTTTTGAGTTTTGCAATTCAAGAGTTTTATTTTTTGATTATTATGCTTTTATTTTTTAAATTTTTATTTATTTATTGGTTTTGGGGTCACACCTGGTGGTGCTTAGGGCTTAACTCCTGACTCTCCACAGAAGCATTACTTCTGGTGGGAGCTCCCTGGACCATATGTGGGTGATTGAATGAACCCAGGTTGGTTGTGTGCAAGGTCCTACCTGTTGTGCTGTCTTTCCAGCTCCTAAATGTTTATTTTTCATATTAAAATTGTGCATGCTTATTAAAGAAAATTTGGAACATAAAGAAAAATAAGAGGCTAAAATACTATGATTCTACCAGCATTTTATTTTTTTTATAATGATTTTTTTCTGGATACTTGTTTTTTTTTTGTTTTTGATTTTGTTTTGTTTTTTGTCCGCAATAATTGATTACATTCAATATTCCAACACCACCCCTATTATACCTTTACACCACCATATTTCAAATTTTTCTACCCCAATCCTCAAAGCATGCCTCCAAAGCAGGACCTAAATACAAAATTATTTATTTTTTCTTGCTTGTTATAAGTAATCTGCTAAAAATTATCCCAAAAAAAGTTTCCTTAGAGGAAAGTGTGTGAAGATTGACATATTTCAACCTGGAACCATTAAGCCCTTGTATAAGAGATTATAACATTTGTTTAAAGTTGAGCCTTGTATTGGATGCTTGTTTTGTGTAGGAAATGTTCAGACATAAGTCTCTAACAATGTAAATAAGGTTTCAGTAAAAACATGCTGAAAGATGGAGGTGTCATAGCATATGGAATTATTTTTATAACTTCTTTTCTTTTGGATTTTGTGCCATACCCAGCTCAGGGTGTACTTCTTGCTCTACACTTCGGGGTTACTCCTGTTTATGCTAGGGGGACCATATGTGGTGTTGGGTATCAAAACCAGGCTTGCCACATGCAAGGCAAACACCCTATCCACTGTACTGTCTTTCCAGCTCCTCTTTTATAACTTTTGAAAGTTACATTTCCAGTTTTATGTTTTCACTAATATATTTTAACAAATAATTTTGGGTATTTTGAGTATGTGTAAATATTTTATAATTATTAAAATAGTGTATGAGTGAAATTATATTGCCAAAGGATATGAATGGTCCAAAACTCTTGATTTAAATAACCAAATTTCTATCAGAAGGAGTTATGTACGCTATTTAAATCTATCAATGAGGCTTTGAAGCGCCATCTGGCTGTTGACTATATCATCTTTTTTTTGTTTTTGCTAATTTTGGGGAGGTGAAACTAGTATTTAATGGTTGTTTTTCAGTGATGCTTCTATGAAGTGGTATATGCTTTGCTTTTTGTTTGTTTGTTTTGACTTTTTTGTGTCACACCCAGCAATGATCAGGGGTTACTCCTGGCTCTGCACTCCGGAATTACTCCTGGCGGTGCTTGGGGGACCATATGGGATGGCAGGGATCGAATCCCGGTCAGCTGCATGCGAGGCAAACACCCTACCCACTGTCCTATTGCTCCAGCCCTGTTTTGCTTTTTATCTTAAAAAATATTTCATTTTAGTTTTCATTATTGAAAATCCAAATCTTTGAAGAGGGGAATAATTAATTCTTTAATGTAATATGTATGATTATAAATTTCCAGAGAAGAATCAAACATTTGCCATTATATATTGAAGCACATATAATGGAACTTAACACTTCACCAGTATTCAGTATTTTATTTCTTAAAGTTTTAAGTCACTCTAAACTTAATCATTTTGAAGTTCATAATAGCACACTACTTACTTAACTTTTCTCTTTAGGTTGCACTTGTTTTTCCTGGGCCCAAGTCTGTCTCAATAAAAGATATTTCTTTTCATCTGCAAAAAAGGATTCAAAATAATATTAGAGACAAAAATGATGATCCTGACAGACCATCTATTAAACGCAGGAAAAATGAAGAACAGGGTTTGAATGACAGCAAATGCAAAGGTGCAATACTGAAAAAAATTATATTTATAGATAGCACCTGGAACCAGACAAATAAAATATTCACTGATGAGAGACTTCAAGGTAAGAGGGAAAATATGTTTTTTAAAATTGCTTGGTTTTCAACTTTCATGTTAAAAAACTTCAGACCTACACATATATTGGCATAGGGGCTGGAGAAATAGGATAATATGTAGGGTGCTAGCCCTGCATGCAGCCAACCTGGTTTCAATCCCCTGTACCATGTATGACCCTCATTTCTGCCAGAGTGATCCCTGAGTTTGGAGCCAGGAGTAAGTCCTAAGCACTGATGGGTTGATGAGTGTCACCCCAAAACCAAACCAAACAAACAAAAACAGTATTTTGGAAGAAACATGACATCAAATTTTTTTTATTTATTTATTTATTTTTGGTTCTTGGGCCATATCTGGCATTGCTCAGGGTTTACTCCTGGCTCTGTGCTCAGAATTCACTACTAGTTATGTTCAGGAAACCGTATGTGGTGCCAGTATTGAATTCCGGTCAGCAAGGCAAATGCCTTCCCCACTGTACTATCTTCTGTGGGTGGGTGGGGGCCGTCCCCAACTTATGTATATCTTTTAAGAATTAAAGACATTCTTCTGCATGGTGCAATATTGTTGCCAGTTTAAGAAAGTTGAAGCTCTGTATATTCTATTGGTTTATATTTATATTTATATTTCCCTAATGAGTTAAGAAATCTTTTGTAGCTTTTTCTCATGAATATACATGATGTAGTATGTATATTCATATTACATTTGATTATTATGTATCTTTAACCTCTTTTAATATAGAACACTACTCTTGGTTTCTTGTTACTTTGATTTTTCTTGAGGACTGGTTAGTTGTCTAAATGCTTTATCATGATTAGAGTAAATGCAAATGTTACTGCAGGGATAGTTAAAGATAAATTCAGGGTTGTCCATGACAATTTCAGTTTATGTCTATTGTTTTGGTATAATTATTAGTAGCATCCCCTTTCATTCTTAAAAATGAACCTGCTTAGATGAAAAATTAAGTAATCCCTAATCATATGGGAAGTTGTATACTTACTGCATCAAATCAGAAGACATATAAATGTAAATTGTTCCATTATTGGTGATAACGTAAATGAATTGATAAAAGTGGTGATTGCAAGTTCTCTCCGTTACAGAGATTTATTTTCTTCTTTATAATTAGAAATCATCTGTGGGCAATGCTTTGAGAATATGAATTATCTATTTCCCAATTGCTTTTCACTGAGTGGTTTTAGTTTTCATTGATGTTTCTTGCCTTAATCAGTAATTATACTGAGGATTACACAATGATGAAATTTTAATTTTGTTATTTCTTTTACATGAGTTAGCGGGCATTCTTATATAAAGAAGAGTTTTTCCTTTTTCTTTTTTTGTTCTCTTTCTCTCCCCAGAACCTTTATTTGTGAGCACTGTGGTCTTAGGGAGTTCCTTTTAATTCAATATATTGTAATCTGTCATGGTTGTATTTTTTTTTAGACATCCATATTGTCTTAAATTTTGCCATTGGGAGTTCTTTTAGTCATTTGTGGCATGGCCTCATAAGTCTTTTTGGTACAACAGGATGTCCTGAGTTCACTTGTACTTTTTTCCTGCCCCAACCCTAGAGTCAATATGGAGCTGTGATTCCTTTTAGTGAAGACTGATGTTAGAAGGGCTGGAGTGATAGCACAATGGTTGGGCGTTTGCCTTGCACGCAGCCAGCCTGGCCGAGACAGGTTCGATTCCTTCTCCCCTCTCGGAGAGCCCAGCAAGCTACAGAGAGTATCTTGCCCGCACGCCAAAGCCTGGCAAGCTACCCGTGACGTATTCAATATGCCAAACACAGTAACAACCAGTCTGAAAATGGAGATGGTACTGCGCCCGCTCGAGCAAATCAATGAACAATGGGAGGACAGTGTTTGTTTGTTGTGTTTGTTTTGATGTTAGAAACTAAAATCTGCTAAACTTACTGGTGCTGCTGCTGCTACTATTACTAGTCTTACTACTCCTACTTCTACTTTACACTGCTGCTGTTCCTCCCTTTCTACTTGTTCTCCTTCTCTATTTTGACATCATTACTTCACTAAACAGAGCTGTGAATTTTAATTCAGAGCGAACATTATAGAGATTTTCTTTCTTTTGTTTACTTTCATCCAAGAATGAAAGATTACTCCCTTATAACAATGATAATAATGATTAAAAGAGTTGTTTACTTGCTCAAGGTAATACAGTTATTACTATGAAGAAGAGAAGTTCATATTACCTTTCTTATTTTTCTCGGACCCTATTCCTTGCTCAAACTTTCTCAATAGCTTCTCTGAAAGATTTATGTATATTTTCAGAATTTTGATGGCTTTGTTAATATACCATGTGTAATTAGAAGGTAAGAGAATTATCTCGCTAGTATTAAATCGTTGCCAAAAGTAGTTTCAATGTGGGAGAATTTGCTTAAGCTATTGTTGAAAATTTATATCTAGAAAAAGTTTATGACATCTATTGCAGTCCGGTTTAGGTTAATTAGGCCCATGTTATTGTCTGATTGGCAATAGATTTAACCAGCTAGCACTGTAGCACTGTCCTCCCATTGTTCACCGATTTGCTCAAGCGGGCACCAGTGACATCTCCGTTGTGAGACTTGTTACTGTTTTTTTTTTTTTACTGTTCTTTTTTTCAAATTTGTCATGGGTAGCTTGCTAGGCTTTGCTGTGTGGGCAGGATACTCTTGGTAACTTGCTGGGCTCTCTAAGAGGGGTAGAGGAATAGAACCTGGGTTGGCCGCGTACAAGGCAAATGCTATCACTCCAGCCCTCAACCAGCTAAACTTACATAAATCTCAATACATTATTTAATATTATTTTGTGTGTGCTTATATGTGTGTGAGAAAGATAGGTAGAAAGAGATCGAAACTGTGTGTGTGTATATGTGTGTATGCACACGCGTGTGGGGTGAGTGTGTGTGTGTGTGTGTGTGTGTGTGTGTGTGTGTGTGTGTGTTGAAAGAGAAGAGCATGTGAGCCTAAAGTTACAGATCTGGAAACTTTGGGGGGCTCAAATTAGGGCCTCACCCATGCAAGGCAAGTCGTCTACTGCTGAGCGACATCCCTGGTTCCTGCCCTGGAAGAATCTTGTTGCTTATGTTGAATACAGGGATAGATCCCTAAGGCCCTGCTCTTTGGCACAGTACCTTGGATGGTTACAGCGGCAAGTTAATCCTCAGTTTGAGGATTTTACTGAGCCATTTTTCTTTATGATTACCTTATATGGCAGTTGAAAAGAGCAAATAAAACAACATAAGTGAAAACACTTGAAAAAACTATAAAAGGAATTATTGAGGTACAGTTCAGAATCTGTTTTCAGAGTGTCTGCCTTTGTGCTTAAGGCTTGCTTAAAAGCATATTTGTACAAAAATTCTATTGTTCCCAGATCACAAAGAAAATAGATTTCAATTCTGTACTATATCACAGACTTTAAGAAGAATTTCTTAATCTTTTAAAATCATGAAATAAACAGATTTTAAGAGCCAAGTATCTCTACATGTTTTGCTTTAGCCCTTGTCCTTTCTGGCTCCTTATTGCAGCATGGGAAGTAATTGGAGCCCTCTGCATGTTTACAGTGTCTGATACGTGAACGCCAGTTTTCAGATAAACCTAGCTACTTCATAGGAAACATAGGGTGATTGTCATAAATCATTGCCTTCATATACTAAAAGCTTTTAATCATTTGATGAGTTTAAACCCAGCAGAGCAACTCAACCTCGTTTTAGTAAATTAAATATAGTAAATTATAATGAATGTGGGAGTTGAGTTCCTTTAACAGTGCAAAAGCATAGTGTTTTACCACACTTTACAGAGAAATAACTAGATATTTTATTGCTGGAGGGTGAAAAAAGTTTGAAACTGTAGTCTAACACATACCACTGGTGGCTCATGCTTTACTGTGACTTAATACAGTTCTGTGTCAATGAGTCAAACATAAAATGTAAGTGTAAAGTGAAGAGTAATATACATTTTTTTCTTCTTGTGCTGTGATATTTAACTGCCTATATCTCCAGTGAATTGCAGAATAATATTTAAATGTTAGTTTATCAAATAAACCCTTGTGAAAATGGGTAAATTTAGACCAGAGAGTACAATGAGTAAGGCATTTGCTTTGCACATAACCCGTCTGAGTTCAATCCCCAGAACTCCAGCTAGTTCCCCAAACACTGCCAGGAATGACCTCTGAGTACAGAGCAGCAGGCTAAGCTCCGAGCACTGCAGGGTGTGATTTAGTGACCAAAAAATAAAATTTAAAAATTGGTAAATTTAGTTATGCCACAGCCTAAAATAAAAAATGGCATTAGTAAATAGAAGATGCAGGTGGATAACTCAATTGTAAATGACTTAACCCTCTGCCAACAGGTCCAAGATTTATTTGAAGTAACTGTCCAGATGTATATTTTGTGTCCTATACTGCTTTTGTGTATACCTAATATATTTAGAAAGTATCATGCTTGAAATTGGGATTTGAGGAATTTATCTATGCTCTTAAAAATAAAAATTCCTTAAAGGGGGCCAGGGAGATAGTACTGGGCTGTTAAGGTGTTTGCTTTGCATTCAGCTGACACTTGTTTGATCCTGGCATTGTGTGTGGCTCTCCCAAAGACCCATGTATTCCCAGGAGTGATCTCCGAGCATAGAGCCAGGAGTAAACCCCGACAACTGCTGGCTATGGCTCAAGCTACCCCCAACTCCCACCAGATAATCTTTAATAAAAGTTAATTATTTGTGTCACACACTCGGGACTTAAAAGTATGTAAATATATATATGTATATGTTTCTTCTTTTTTTTTTCTTTGGCAGGGCTGTTACAAGTTGAGTTGAAAACAAGAAAAACTTGCTTTTGGCGCCATCAAAAAGGAAAGCCAGATACCTTCCTTTCCACAATTGAAGCCATTTACTACTTCTTGGTAGACTACCATACTGATATATTAAAAGAGAACTACAAAGGACAATATGACAATCTTTTATTTTTCTACTCATTTATGTATCAGTTAATAAAGAATGCCAAAGGCTCTGGAGAGAGAGAAACAAGAAAACTTATCCACTAATTTTAAGAAGCCACTTTTTATCATTTTATTTTCATAAAAAAGTCAATAAAGGAATGCATTGCTTATTCTTAGGAGACGTCTATATGTAATCTACAAGACCACTTGAAAAAATGGTTTCACTTATTTGTTTTTCAAAAGAAATTTAAATCTGATGAAATTTTTAGGGATAATATTTCCTGATAATTCATTTCACAAGGTTTCTACTCATTAAGCATAACTCAGTGTTTTGTTTCTCTGGTTATTTCCCTTTGGGCTATCTGTAGTAGTTCTCAGGAGCTACTCCCTATTCCATGTCCCAGATTGTCTCCCCATGTACTTATGGGACTTTGTGTTGAGGATCAAACCCGGTCCTCCAGCATGCAGAGCATGAGATCAGGCATTGTCTCTAGGCCTCGCTTATCTCAGTTGTATTCCGACACGTTAATGTGAAAATGTGTTATATTTATATCTTAGTAATTAGACATAATTATATATGTGTCAGGAGATTTTTTGTATCTTTCTATTTTTACTACCACCTTTGGAGATAGACGCGTCCTGAATCTGCTTGCTGGAAGTAATTTAGTTGAGATTCATGCTAACCATAGGCAGAGCTGAAATTGTAGCTCCATGCCCTAGTCTTTAAATCCATGTTACCTATGATAGACATTTGTTGCTCTTTATATGAGCCTATCATCATTTTTAGGAAGACATTGATAGAAAATTGGTGTCCTGCCATGGGAATGAACATATAACACATTTTAGCAAGTGAAGTGCTCAGTGATTAATCCAGGGATAAGCGTCTGACCCATTACTTTTTTGATTAAAGATAATGGCTGTTGTAGGAGGTAGGGTTTAAATTTCAAAAGTAATATGCCATAGTTACTGGAAGTATAGATTATGGAATTATCTCATTCTGGGTCTCAGCTTTTCCTTTTCCTTGCTTGTGTCAGTTATTTGCCAGCTTTTTGTAGTTTCCCCCTCCCCTGCCCCCATTTTAAATCAGAAGATACATGCCTGCATTTGTATGATTAATGCGAGGATTCATTGAGTTAATGTTTCCAAGGGGCTTTCAGGAGCATCAGGCCTATAGTAATTGCAATATATTTGTTTCCTTTCACTGTTGTTGACATCTATGCTGCAGGTAACAAGAGGCTGCTTCAAATGAAGCCAGGGAAGGAAAGCAGAATGAAGCAAGAAAAAGACTCAGTCTGGAGGGCATCATTTAATCACTCACTAGCTGTTTATGAATAGGAGTCCCATATGCTGGGTGGCATCTGTTGGCTTCTCCGGAACCATTGCACCCCCTCACCGTTGCCTCCTCCTCCTACACACACACGCATACATACACATATTCTTCCATTCTGTACAATGCTTTGTAAGGTAAGTCCTCTAGCTCATTGACTTTTGATGGGGATCAACAAATGTTAAGCAAAATTAAGTGAAATGGTGTTATTTCCTGGGTTCCTTTTCTGTCAAGTCACCATGAGTTGACTGTGTCTTATTGAAGGCCATAATTTCTGAGCTGGTCCCTATCCCAAGATAATTTCAGGTCCCCTCAAATTTCAGGTCCATCCCAAGATAATTCATTACCCCTTGTTGGCTTCTGTAAACCTATGTAAATAGTGGGGTTTTTTTTTTTTTTCACATCTCTCATTTAAATTGCCCTCTGTCTCTGGGATCCTCCTGCTAAATTTACTCATGTGAATGCTAGAGCTGACTACAAATTTCCAAAGGTATATTCAGTAGGACATAGAACACATTTTATGAAGAAATAAATTATTGGTAAGATTTGCTGCACATTATGTTTCCCTTTTAGAGATTTAAAAACACAGCATAAAATGCTGAAAAATTTTAAAATAAGTATTTTCAATCTTATTTGAGCTAGTATTTCTTAAAATTGTTTTAATAAATACCTAGTATTCTGCGTACATGAGACATTTGAAACACTAATTTAGAACAATCCCTATTATATGTGTATATTTGTATATAGTAACTGAGCTTGAATAAGCTACCCTTAGTTCATACAAATGCTTCAGGGGGAAAACTTGTCTAGTTTCTGAAATTTGTAGTTTTGATTTAGTGAAGTCATCTTTGTATTTACTCCTCATTGTAAGGAATGTGACTTGAACGTTATTAGTTTCATACTATCAACCAAATTAACTAGATTGCCTATTTAGCAGATATTTTTCAAGTGTAAAATTAAAATTAATTTCTTCATATTTAGAACTCAGACTTTAGAACAGAGATGTCTGGAGTGATCCAAGTGGAATCAGATTTAGAATTCCTCCAGGGTTGAATTATGCCTCCCTAAACTAATCTGCTTGCCATTTAACTAGTGCTACAAACCAACTTACTATTAAAAGGAGAAAAAAAATGTCATTTCACTCATTTACCCGACATCTTATAACTGATGTAGAAAAGAATACTACTAAGTGCCGAACTTACAACTTTGGCCAGGTAGAATCTCAGGTTCTTCCCCTAAATATCTAAGAACAATGAATTGACTAGTTGTTTTTCCCTATGGTATGATAAGGGCAAAACTGGCCTTCATTCTTTTTTCCTTATATTCAGGGCTCTTTTTCATGCTGCTCTGAAGTACCCTTATTCTGATTCTGGGCCATGAATATTCCCGAAGGTCCAGTGTGTACTTATTTGTGCTTGTGCTTCTATTGTTGGCATATGCATTTCAGGATCAGCATATTGGAGGGCCATTGAAGCAGAGCAAAGCCAAGGCACTCTGGTCAGCCTAGTGAATCCTACCTTGATTGGTAGCCAGTCTGTCACCAGATACATGGAGTTTCCCAACCAAAATCAGCAAAACTTTTTTTTTTTTGCTTTGCTTTTCGGGTTACACCCGGCGATGCTCAGGGGTTAATCCTGGCTCTGCACTCAGGAATTACTCCTGGTGGTGCTGGGGGACCATATGGGATGCTGGGAATCGAACCAGGTTGGTCGTGTGCAAGGCAAGCACCCTACCAGCTGTGTTATTGCTCCAGCCCCAGCAAAACCATCTTACCTGATAACAGATGTATGAGCAAAGGGCAGTTATTGTTTCTGGAAGCCATATTGTTTATAGTGCAGCATTTTTGTGCCACCAGCTCATCATTAAGGTACAGCAGTCTCATATTTCTCAGCATCTACTCATATTTTAGCCTCATTGTTTCCTAAGCCATCAACCACTTCCTTAGTTAACACCCTTTACAGGGACAAACTGCTGGCAGGCTTGTATCATTCCTCTTCCGGAGCCAACTAGCCGTATGCTCTAAATCTTTGGCTCATCCCAACACCTCTCGGAAGTGTGGCTGGGAGCAGCATGCCACAAGGTTTCCCCTGTTACCATCAAAATAAGCAGTCTGAAAACAGGTTAACTGTGGAAGACTTCAATTGATGACTTAGAAAACAGCAAAACAAGAGCCCAGTTAGATAAAGTCCCCTCTCTTCTGACACACTGTTTTGAGACATAGGTTTTCACATTTCTCTCTTGAGCTGTGTCTTGTGGCTAAGCAAGTGTATTTGTCAAATTTTGGTAGTTTCCTCATGGTTTCTAATGAAACAAAAAACAAGTACTATACATTTATTTTTCAGTTTGCATTCTCCATCCACCCATTACTTTCATTACTTTCATTCTTCCTAACCTGGATTACTCAATCTAATAAAGTGACATTAATTTTTGCCTCAGTTTTATGTTTCCTAGGGAGGTCAGATGTTTTAGTCTGGGTTTTGTGCGTGTGTGTGTTGGAGGGGGAGAACATATTTTTTCCAAATATTTCCAAAATAAAGAGATTGGAAAAAGTAATAGCAGTTCACCCATATTTAGGTGTTGCTCAATAATTGAAGGTTTGAAAGACCTCAGGAGAGGATTAGAGAAACAGTCACTAATTTAGTATGAGTTGTTCAAGACGATCATGACTTTGAACACAGGTGCACCTTGAGCTTCTCATTTCTTTTCATATTTATAAGTGTGCTTTAGTTCAGTGGAAATGCATCCCCTTCAAGTTTTTAAAGACCTTTATTGGTTATACCCTTAGTTGTTTTTTTCCTTTTTGTTATTTTTTTCCTCAAGACCATGGAATGCTAGTACCCTGGATGGATTTGGGTTTTTTTTTTTTTTTTTGTCCTAAACATGTATTAGTTTTTGCGCCACATCCAGCAAGCTTTGGAACTATTCCTGTCTCTGCTCAGGGTCATTTCTGAGGTTCTTAGTGGACCATATGGTAGCACTGTAGCACTGCCCTCCCATTGTTCATCGATTTACTCGAGCGGGCCCAGTAGCATCTCCATTGTGAGACTTGTTACTGTGTTTGGCATATCAAATAAGTCACGGGTAGCTTGCCAGGCTTTGCTGTGCAGGCAAGCTACTCTCGGCAGCTTGCCGGGCTCTCCAAGAGGGGTGGAGGAATCGAACTCGGGTCAGCCAGGTCAGCCTCATGCAAGGCAAACGACCTACCCGCTGTGCTATCGCTCCAGCCCGGACGGTATGGTACCAGGATCAAACCCGGGGCTCTTTGCATGCAGTGAATATGCTCCAGCCTGTTGAGCTATCTCTCCAGCCTATATGCCTGTATTTAATGATCACCCATTTGATTTGAGAGATAGGTTCATTTTCCAGCCCTATCCTTCTGGGACTTCTGTATTTTCGATAGTATTCCACACAATTACTCTCCTTATTTTTGAGCTCATCTCTTATAGTACCTTACCAAAAGTAGCTTATAGTGACCAACTTATTCTTTGAAGTTTCTCTCTCAAAATTTCACGCTTTACCATGAAGTTATTTTCGTTGGCTTACCTTAAAAATAACTGGATAAAAGCCATCACCTATAAATAAGTCATGCATAACTTGGCAAGATACTTGTTTAAAGTCTCAAAAAAAAAAACGGAGGGGAGGGGCTAGATCATAAGGAGTGAATGGAAAACCAAAGGAAACAGAAAATCGGGAAACAAAATAATTGGTTTGTGGAGGTGGGAGGGAAGGAATAAAGGAAGGCAAATACTGCATTCACAGAACAAGAATTGAATATCATGAAAAAAATTAAACAAAAGAATCTGGGAATTAAAAATATGACAACTGAAGTAAATACTGATACAAGACT